ATTTTAAAATAAATTATACAAGTAAAAAAAAAACTAGTTTCATGTATAATTTATAAGAAGATTTAATAATTAATTTTCAAATGCATATATTGTCAACAATTACAATAACTATTATTTAGTAGAAAGATGTTTTTTTTAAAATTAAAATTAACTGAATTTTTATGAAGTCAACAATATCTTAAAAAATTAAAATTAAAACATACATTAAAACGGTTTATAATGTCATACACAGACGTACAATGAATATTTTTTTCTTTTGAAAATAATACATAGAATATATTTAATGAGAGTGGATAGATAAAAAAAAATTGGTAATCTTGATAACAAAATATGCAAGTTAAGATTATTTTAATAAATTATAATTTATTTTAATTATTTCTTAACTCTTGTCTCTGGCGGATACACTTTCAGCAATATATAAATACATAGCATAAAAAATGAAACTAGCAATACATGTTCACTGCAAAAATAACTTTAAAAAACCTTCAGAAGATTCAGCGCATTAATAGGGCAACTTGTTGACTGAAACTTGTAAATACCATTTTATGTAAAGATCGTCTTCCTTTAATCCTAATCATAGCAGCACGTTTGCCTATATATCATAGATGCAGCCCCGAAGTGATTCCTTATTGCCTTCATAAGTTTTTTTTTAACTTATTATATATATATATATTTGAACCAAAGAAAAGTCCTTGTGTTATTTACTGTGTTTCAATGTCACACCATAAATTTCGTTTAAACATTTATAATTTCAGAAAGAATCTGATAAGCCTTGTTTAAAAGTTTTTAAATGAAAAAAATGAGTTTTATAAATTCTACAAAATTTTTGTAAATTAATGTTTGTAATTTTTTTTAATTTGAAATTTTTTTATTAACCTTACTTCCTTCTCTTTTTTATTTTTGTTTAAACTCTTTTTTTTTCTCTGTTTAAACTCTAAAATAAAGTTTAAAGTTAGATGGTTCACTTCTTATGGCCGGTACCTGGTAAAATATTTTAACTAACATTTAAGCCTATTCTTATGTTTAATTATGGAGTAAAAAGATTATTTGAAGAAACGTATATATTGAAAACGCTATAGATCAAAACAAGCCATTCACTATCATTTTTGTACAGGTATTAACCCTTTCCATTGGTCTACTAAGTCTCATATTTTTTTTATAAATCGATGGATAAATATTCCCCTATATTAAGTTTTTGGAAAAATGATTAGAATAAGCAGCCAATTTGTTTTTCTTATGTACAATTTAGTCTACGAGTATAGCAATTTATTTATAATTATTAGCATATCTAATAAAATATAATGAATTTATTGATGTGACATTTGACTTAAAGATGTTATTAAATATCATGTAATTAGATATTTTGACTCTTAAAAGGGGCAATTTGTATAGATTTGATTCATGATTGAAGAATCAATGTGTGTATAAATTGGTCATTAAATATTTTACATTTACATTTTTGGTTTACGATTGTTAATCAAGTGTCTTAGAATTAAGTGTTTACAAGTGTAATAATGCTGTATATTGCATATGAAATAAATCAAAACATTTGCTACATGGAGAGGTGAAAGGTCAAAGTAAAGTAGAAAATCACATGAAAATAATCTCAGACAAAAGTTAAATGATAAAAACTGTCAAAACCTATATGTGGAATATTTAATACATAAAAACTTGGATCCAAATTAGAGAGAAAAACCAGCTAACTAGTTTACGACCAAATTTCCTCTCATTAAGCCATGAGAAAACGCCTGAAGTAAAGAAGTTACCAAATCCTATATTTCCAACAAGACCTATGATTCACATGCTCAATAATCCACAAAGCCTCCTCCACATGCCCACAATTGTCTTCGTTAATGTACTGAACCATCAACGTTAAATCTCACCTAATCAACAACTGTTTCTTGTTAATTTCAAGTTCAAAGCATTCTAAATTTTTATTAGTTTGAGCTGCATGAGATTTTAGAGTTTTTTTTTATAAGTAAAATATATATTATTAAAGAGAGTTCAAGTAAAACTCAAAACTTATATACACTGAGAAAAAAACTAATACTTATTCCAAAAAATAAAAATAAAAAACATACTTATACATAAGTAAGACGGATGCAATTTTATAGAGTTTAAACACCAATCAGTTAACAAAATAACTTCTTTTTTACTAACAAGTGATAACAATTTCTAGAATTTCAGAATAATAGAATCTATCACTTCATTATCATCTAAAATACTATTAAAAAACATAATTCTATTTCTATGTAACCACAATGACCACATTGTACTTATCCAAGCAATTAATAAATATATCACTTCTCTTTTACTACAACCATTTACCAAGAAGCTCCAAGTTAAATAACTGCACATTCTTAATGACCAAGCCACCATTCTTCCACGGTCTATAAACTGTTTTTCATTTCATCCAAGAAATTTTAAATCCACTTTTAACACCCTTCCATAAAAAATTTCATTGGATAATAACAATTTCTTTTATTACTGACTTCAACACCTTAAAAAAGAATAACGAATACAAAATTTTAGAGTTGCGCAAATTTATATTTATATCATAAAATAATACACTTACATACGCTTTGCACAAAATAAATTTAAATCATGATGAAATTAATTATAATAATATTTAACACCCTTGGGAGAAATGCTCCACTTTGGTATTGATTAACCATAATATTAACCAAAGGCTATTAATTTAAGTGATAAATAATTTATTTTCTTTAATAAGATATCAAATTCAAGTTTCACAAATAAAAAATAAATAGAAAATACGTTTTGTCCCCGCTAATAAAATTACATAACTCATTAACTACATTCGTCCACTATAACATTTAAAATTCGAAATCTAATATAAACAAATCAATTTTTAATTTCCTAAAAAACTATTGTTCAATAATAATATAGCTATTTGTCAAAGTTTAATTAAATTTTAAACGTACTTCTGATTTTTATGTTTGGTATACTTCATAATTTATGTATAATAATCCAATCCAACTTGCTACTTAAGACCAATTAGAAAATGACTGAAATGAGCTAAAAAACTAGGAATCAAACTATTGCCATTCTAGCCAGATGTAAAGTTATAAAGCTATAATCATAAACGATAAAAGAAGCGAAACAAGGTTGTCACGTCAAATACAATCTCGAAATTAATTGAATGTTAAAAACCATATTTAAAAAGCTAATACCATCCATACCAATTTATTACTTCAGAACTTTTATTCTAGGATACTGAATTTTGAACTGAACCGTGATTCAGGTGTATAAAACGTAATAATTTTAAAGTAAAATTAAGTTTTAAATAATGCTTATTAATGCAATTATTACAGACAAAATGAAGCAATTGTGTAAAATATACATATATTCAAGAAAGAAAATTATGGCCTAAATTGCTTAAGATGAAATGGCAAAATCACCACATACTATTTTGGCTCTAATTGCGAAGTCCCGTCAACAAAGCCTTTAATATGATATGATGTAGGTTATTGCAAAGAAGTGCAAATTAAATAAGCCTATGAGTAAATTTACAAACTTTATCGATTTTCCTTTTGTCTTATGCAATAGTCAATGGAATTTACCAGCATCATCGTCATCGGTCAAGCTCCCTCCATTTAAAAGCGTAATTAATGCAAACTTTTCCTCATTCAATCAACAAGCTAACAAACAATTGATTAGGTTTTGATCTTTTGAGATAATTTGAAGAAAGGGTCTTTTTAGCCAAAATGACCTAGCCAACTATTCCCACAAGGTGACAGTCCATCATCAACAAACCAAAAGAGAACCACTTTTATATATATATATATATATATATATATATATAAATGGGTCGTTCTCCAAGCTACAAGGGGGTTAGGCGAACAGCCTACCCCGATTGTCACTACTCCAAAAGCTAATCATCCATGGCACATCCAATACTTTTAACATGCTCATTTTTAGCTGGCATCTATAAGAGAGAAGACAATCTGCGTTTGTCCTATTGCCCAACTTAGATTTTGCTACATCATCTTTAATTAACTAATAAACTGGATTAGACCAATTACATATTAGGCTTGTGAATCCTCTCTAGCTACTTCATGCTTTGTTTGCATAATAGATTAATTATTTTAACCAATTAATTATTCTTCCAGCTAGTATGTGTACATCCTCTAGGTTTTAATTAATATTACTATATCTGATGTCTATCACCATTTTAATTCGAACAAGATTTAGATCCTGAAGAAATAGGTTTCCAATAATTAAATTTATTTCCCTTCCGATGTGGATGCAGAGAAAGAAAAAGCTACGCCAAAAGGGTGCTTGGGTGTGTTTTCGTCAAGCTAGAAAACGAAAAGCAGCCGCAGCCATTGGCAAAAATTCTCTCAATGAAGCAATTATTATAGGTAAAAAAAATCATACGCACACAAACAAATACACGATTCCGGCAACTAACAACGTCTCATCTTTACCATGCAACCTTTGATATGTAGTTTCCCTGCACCTTATAATATTTAATTAACGGAAGACAAATAAGATAGATATATATATCCACACCCAAATAATTAATCCCCTGTAAAGTTCAATGAATATTTTCAAAAGGCTCTCACGTACAGGAGAGGGTAGAGAATTAAGTGCATGGTTCATAAATACATTAGATATACATGATATATTAATTTCAGTACAAGCGATCATAACGCATTTCTTCTACTAGCAGTTGATGAGAACGTTGTCCACGGCAGAGAGCTCGTGGCACTTAATTTACACTATCTACTTCCCCCAACTCAAGAAGTCAGAGCAATTTCAAGGGCTTCTCAACAATCTAGAGGACGAAACACGTCTTCGTAGAGACAAAAGCACCTTAAAATTTAAAAAAAAGAAGAAGCACAAAACAGCAACGACTTGGTTTACTAAATCCACAAAGATAAAAAAAAAAATCAAAAAGAAAAAAGAAAATACGGCATATAATATATATTAGGATCGATACCTGTGGTGAAACATTAATCCTCGGAATGTTGAGATAACTAAGTAGCATTAGTGGTAGTGATCTTTGGCTTTGGCCTCTTCCTCTTCTTTTCATAGCTAACACCTCTAGCCTTTGCCTGAAAATCACGAACATCTCGCAAGTAAATCCTCACCGCTCGAGCACCAAAAGGGTTGGTTTCGGGTCTGCCACCGTTTTCTTCATAGGCGGCGCGTAGACGACCGATGAGCGCGTCGAGGCTACCCCATGCCTGGCGGAGAGGGCAGGGGCATGGGGCAGGAGGGTTTGGGAGGCCGAAGAAAGGGCAAGGGTGGTTATGTACTTTGGTCTTCCCGAACTGGTCAAGGTAGTGAAGGAATTCCAGCACGTGCGCACCACTGCACAGGGCCAAAGAGAGTGGTGGACGGTGGTTCCTCAGGTACTGGATGAACGTGTTCCAGTCTCTCCGCTTTTGGTTCTCGTACCTGCTTGGAGTGCCTCCACTGTTGCTCGCTGAAGAAGGAGATGACATGCCTGTGTTTGCTATTGTTAGATTCGCGTTTGGAGTCACTGGACTCTCAATCTTGTAGCTTGGGTTTGTTGAATCCGAGACCAAATCCATGGATCTGACCCTCTCTTGAACCTCTTGTTGCTTTGGATCTGCTTTAGATCTTGCCGAGGGTGAGATTAATTTTGTTTGATGATATATAAGTGACTGTCTGCGTGCACAACGATTGCTTGACTTTTCTAGTTCTTTTTTCTAAGGACTAGGGTTTTGCTTTTATGTATGTAATAATAATAATATATGATGATGATAATAATAATATTAATTGGAAAAGTGAAAAAGGTATATCATGCAGAGAAAGAAAGATTGGCTGTGACTAGGGTGTTGCTGGAAAGGGAAGAAGACAGTAACCTGGGCAGTGACAGATGAGAGGTAGAGCAGTGCGTGGTTTCCATTGTATTTCTCTGTCAGAGAGAGGGAGAGAGAGAGAGAGGGAAAAGAAGGGTTTGGAGAAAGGAATTGAAGTGAATGAGAACGAGAGAGAGAGTGTAGTTTGGTTGGTTAGGGTGAATGTTAATGGGTGGCTAATGGAGTAGTGTGAATGGTAAAGAGTGAGCAGTAATTGGTAGAAATGGAATGATTCCTGGGTACGAGCTGATAATCAGATATGTTGTTTCCAGAAAAGCGCGAGCAACTGAGAGTTATATCGTACCGTAATAGTGAGAGAGAGAAAGTGAAGTGGGCGTGAGGAGGAGAGTGCCGAAGAACCAAGGGTTAAATGAAGGAGAGGAGGAGGGTGCTATGCCAAAACAGGACAAAGTTTGGCAGTAAGCAGTGATGATGGTGACCAAAGATGAGCAGACATTTCAAATTATGGATATTCGCCACTCTACTTCTTGGCGCGTGAACTCACATCTCTCCACTTTTCGCATCCCATCCTAGTCCTACTACTTTTTTACTTTCAAAAACAATCCTCTTTTTCTTATCTATGCACCACTCTCCAGTTGCTTTTCCACTCTTATTTTAAATTCATCTAAAATCATACCTCCCATTTTTTTAATATATATTTAGTGAGGACTTAATTTATGTGTTTATTTTTAAAATTTGGTTCTTCGATTTGTTTTATTTCTTTTTTCTTTTTTGTCAACTTCATTTCACCGCCTAATTGAAGAAACACTGACATTGTAATGTCATCCTTGTCATTTTGATTGGCATTCCGGTCTTTCCTCCTCCTTCTCCTCCTCCTCCTCCTTCTTCAGCCTACTCATAAAAGAAGGAAGATGATAGATTGACAGTGGCACGATGGTGGTTCTAATAAAGTGGTAGAAGGAGATGGCTTTAGGCGATAAAGATTTAGCATTCACAATTTCTAGTCATGTGGTGAAGTACTGAAGCTTTTTTTTTTTTATCATTACTATTTTCTCCTTTACTTTGTTGCAATGGTGGTGAAATTTGAAGTTTTGGCATCCAAGTTATGTGTTTCCTTGCTTGCGCGCTGTCTAATGAACAAGAGGAGGCATACCTTTTTGGGTTCTATGATTTGGGATTAGGGTTTTGGAATGGTAATTCACATTTTCCATTTTAAAGCTTTTTTGTTTCTTTAGAATTTTATAAGAGAATAGGGAGGCGAGAGAGTTTGCAGACTATTTAAGCTATTTTAAAAATGTCAAGGTCCAAATATGAAATGCAGATGAATGAATGAGTGGAGTGAAAATGTGTGTTGTGCAGCAAGTATTAATTTCTAGTCGTGGGGTGGGAGAAGAAGGAATGTAAAAAAATGGAATGACAGAGAAATTGAGAAATATGAAATTGAGAATATATATAATGCACACACGTGTAACCTAGCAGAAGTGACACTGTCACATTTCGTAGAGTCAAAATGTATCAATTCGGTGATATCTTAAGTCTTAACCCCTCATGATTTTTTTCATCTAATATTTACCCGTTCAGTATATATATATATATATATATAGCAATCATAGACATTGACATATATTAATATATACTTTAATTAAAATGTGTTAAGCAAGTTATATATATTTGATATATTTTTAAAAAATATTATTACAAATTTTATGTATTTTTTTTAAAAATAAGTCAATGTTAATCAATCTTATGTATATATATATATATAAGTTTTGTAATAATTATACCTTTTAGTGATAATGTAACTTAAATAAAATAATTTTAATTATTTATATATAATTATACAGTTTAAATTTATAGTTATTTTTTATTATTAATCATTCATGATAAAATTTTATTAGTTTTATGGAAGAAATTATATTTTTAATACAAATATTTTTGGAAAAATAATATGATATTTCATTTTAAAGTGTAAAAAGTGATCAAATTCAAAAAGCTTTTACTGAAGATGTACATTTTTATTTAATATTTTTCACATATATAATATAAATTAGTGTACGTGTATAATATAATTTATACAGTGTAGTGAAAATAAAAATAAAAAAAAATCTCATTACCGGTTTAGGTTGTTTTTGAAAATTTTATTTCTGAATTCTCAAAATATGTACGATATATAAAACGTGTAGTGACGTGCGAATAAGTCGAAAACACAGTACCATTCTTAAAAAAAAAAATCTAAGATATTAAAGATCATACAATATCTAGGACCTATGGGGAATCTATACTGTGCAAACAAATAAATTTAATATATTTCTTTCATTTAACATGTTACAAAAAAATTTATAAAAGGTAAAGAGTAAAGAGAAAAAAAAAAAAGCAAAGGCCAAAAATTATAATAACATTTTGTTTGTCTTCTATGATAATTTTATTTTAAAATTAACGTTTATAACAATATTTATGATTTTTTTAACATAAACATATTATAAATGTAATTTTTTAATGTTTTATTTAATATTCACAGAATATTTCTCTTAATATTAATATAATATTTGTGTACATTCAATTATTATGATTATTTGTGCACTATTGTAAATCTTGACTCTTGTCAACTTTTCACCTTCTATCAATCAATCTAGTAGGGCCATATACTGTCGCCATATGGAGAGATGTCATTATATTAAGGTCCTTTGAGAAAGGGTAGAACCTTAGAACCTCTTTCAAAATATGCCGATAATTCGCTTATGTATATAGGGGCGGTAAATGGGTTTTGATTTGATAGGTTGGCCAGTTTAACTTGTAAAATAAAACGATTCAATATTTTTCTTAAATTGATCATTATAATTGTTTTAATATTTTAAAATTTAAAGCACATATATATTTTTATAAAAAAATATTAATTTCTATTATTTATTATATATTTAGTATAATATTAATTGTTATAATTATTTTATAAATATTTCATTTTAATTTTTAAAGCATTATAAAAATTATTTTTAAAAATGTAAATCAAGCTCAAACTCTTTTATTTCTTAGTCTGTCTTATTTTAATTTGCTAAAATAGAATTAGTCAAGATTAATTTATCGAATTTTTTAAATAATTAATATTGATATCACTTTATTAATTTAATAATAGTTTATATATTATTATTAAATTATTCTTAAGTATGTTAAATTATGAATTTATGTGTTTAATGGTATATATATATATATATATATATATATATATATATATATATATAATTTTTTGTTTGTTGTTTACAAGTTGATTTAGTATCTCTTCACTCATTTCTTTGATTAATTTAATATTTTTAAATCACTTTAAAAATTATTTTTTTTTCTTAATTAAAACTTTTAGAATTAATTATTATTTTAATATTATTGCAAAAAATATTTTTTTTGTAATTTTTTTAATACGTGACACAAATATTGTCCCATTTATAATAATAATTTTTTTTAAAAAAAGTATGTTCTTGCATAAACGATATTGTAATGAAGTTTGACTCTTGTTATTTAATAGAATGATATTCTTTAAACTATAATTTTAAATTTTTTTATTAATAAATATATATTTTTTAAAAATATATTAAGTATCATATTTTTTAAAATTAAATTAATTAAAATATTAAATATAATCATAAATAAATTTTCCTAAAAATTTATTTAATAGGTTGTTTTAAAAAATTAATAATTAAATAAAAATTATTATAAAAGTTAAATGTTAAAAATTTAAAATTGCAGAATTTGAAAAATAAATAAATTATCATAATTTGTTAAAATTAGATTAATTTAAATAATAATTATTAAATATGAATATAAATAGATTGTCATTAAACTTTATTTAATAGGTTATTTTAAAAAATTATTTATTAAATAAAGATTCATTTTAAAAGTTAATTGTTAGTAAATTAAAATTATAAAAGTTAAAAGGTAAATTAGTTATCAAAATTTCTTAATTTAAATTAATTAAAATAACATATATTGAATCAATTATAAATTAATTTTCATTGTATGTTATTACTTAAATGTTATTTAATATATTATTTTAAAAATATTTATTAATAAAAAATTTAAAAATTATGATTTAAAGAAGATTATTCTTAAAAAATGACATTGTATTTTTGAATGATACGTGTTAAGCTTAGAACTTATCATTTATTTATTTTAGGGGTGATACTTGCTATTTTTTTAAAAAATTATAGTATCATTTTTTTAGTGTAAGTATACTTGTCGTACGTGAAAAAATGTTTTACAATAATCTTAAATTAATAATTAATTCTGAAAAAACCTTAATTAGAAAAATAATAAAAATAAAAACGGAACATGTCACCTGATTTATTATCTCTACTTTTATAATAATTAATAATATTAACTTATCGTTTTAGGGTGTTAGTTAAAATATGAAAAGTAAAAAAATATTTAAAATACTATTAGTATATATTTATTATAATATTTAATGTATTTTTAGCATAATTTTTAATAAAAACATTTGTTAATTATTTTAAAATATTAATTATCAATGCTCTAAAATAATTTATCACGATAAGAACCAATTTACGGAAACATTTATCAAGAGAACTAAAATATTTGCTATGTGTTATATTATTGATATAATTTTTAAAATAATTTTTTACAATATACTTTGTTATTTATTAATTTAATTTTTTATATTTTTTATTTGAAATTTTTCTTATTTCAATAAATAAAAAAAATACAAGTTTATTATAAAATTTATCACACTTGACAATATCATG